TACACGGAAAAAAATTTATTGTTACTGCAACAGGAGGCAGTCATGTTGCAGCAACAGGATTTTCCTGCAGCTGCAACAGGAGGCAGCCATGTTGCAATATCAGGAAAAAATCCTGTTGTAGCAACAGGATTACTACTGTTGTTGCGACTTGATAGTAAAATATAGTTGGGTCAATTCATGTCAAATCGACCAATAGTTGGAATCGACCCCTTTCGATTTGGATAAATTTTGGTCAGAAGTTTTCTTTTATCATACAACGAACTTCTGCCAAAGGGAGAAAATAAAAAAATTATTTGCAAAAGATATATGCAAATTCAAAATTTCTCGATTTTTCCAGTTTTTCAATTTTGTTTTTGTTATATCTCGAACGCTATTATAGATACAGGAATGGCCTTTCGTTTGTTTGAAAGGGGACACTTGGGGTTATTGAAAAAAAAATATATTGAACAATGCCAAATTTGTTAAATTTTGAATTTTTGAAAATCGTCATAAATGACGATCTATATTAAAATTTTAGCTCAATTTTTTTTTGTATAATACCTTGTACTGATCTTAAAAGATCCTGAAATTTTTAGAACTGTGTTTTTTTTTAAATACGAATTTTTCAATTTCAAAAAAAAATTTTCTTTTGTTTTTCGCAACTTCTAAATAATGTAAAGTTATGCAGATATATAGTATTGTAATTTTGAGCATTAAAAATAAATGCACGACGTGGAAATATTAAATAATAAATTAATTTCAACTGTTTTTTCTATTTTTTGAACGTAATCTTAAAGTCAGGCTTAACACATAATATAATTTCTTATTTTTTTAACGCATGATATATTTTCTCCGTTTGTTTACTACAATAAAAGTTTTTAACGTCAAATAACTCAAATAGATGTTAATTTCCAATAACAATCAGAAATAATGTGGTGAGAATATCAATTTTTTTTCGTTCTTTTGAGTACTTGTTTACTTACAAATTTCTGCATATTAATGTTGCTCAATCTCAAATTTTAAATCATTTCCATGTTAATAAGACGATAACTGGCGTCGACAACTTTAAATGAAGTAAAGTGAAAAAAAAATCACAGTTCTAAAAATTTCAGGATCTTTTAAGATCAGTACAAGGCATTATACAAAAAAAATTGAGCCAAAATTTTAATATAGATCGTCATTTCTCGATTTTCAAAAATTCAAAATTTAACAAATTTGGTATTTTTCAAAATATTTTTTTTTCAATAGCCCCAAGTGTCCCCTTTCAAACAAACGAAAGGCCATTCCAGTATCTATAATAGCGTTCGAGATATAACAAAAACAAAATTGAAAAACTGGAAAAATCGCGAAATTTTGAATTTGCATATATCTTTTGCAAATAATTTTTTATTTTTTTCCTTTAGCAGCAGTTCATTGTATGATAAAAGAAAACTTCTGACCAAAATTTATCCAAATCGAAAGGGGTCGATTCCAACTATTGGTTGATTCGACATGGATTGACCCAACTATATTTTACTATCAAATCGCAACAACAGGAAAAAATCCTGTTGCTACAACAGGATTTTTTCCTGTTGTTGCAACATGGCTGCCTCTTGTTGCAGCTACAGGAAAATCCTGTTGCTGCAACATGAATTCCTCCTGTTGCAGCAACAATAAATTTTTTTCCGTGTAGTATTGATTCGTATGTGTATAATAACAATAATAACAGAGACTATGAAAATCATAATAATATTCAGACAGTGCAGTGGAGATTTAGATGAAGATAGAGATTGATAATAGTGCGAGTAGACAGGGTCGTGATTGAGTCAGACAGAATTTGTGATAAGCAGTAGAAATTGTCAAGATCTGATCAGACATTTAACGGAAGTTTTCTTGTGCATTATACTGTTGTAGATTTTTATCCATGAAATTAATTTTAAAGGCGGTTTTTTTTTTGAAATTTCAAAAAATAAAATTTATTTTCATAACTTATTTTAAGCCATTAAATAAAATAAATTTTAATAAAATTTTCCCTTTTAATAATTGAAAAAAAAAAATTAACAATTTTCCGCTTGAGTAAATAAGAATGAAATAAATTGATAATCACAAAAAACATTTATCCATTTATTTATACATCATAATCAATTTTTGCGATATCACGTATTTTATCCGTTGAAACAATAATACAACTAACAAAAAAGCTCTAAAAACAAATGAGTAAATACTCATATATATTTATTTCACGAGATAAAATCAATCAGATGATATTTATTTATTCTCAAGCACAGCCACTATTTTTATTATTATTTTCATGATAAAAGTCTCGATTGTTTGAACAGAAACAATAAAACACAAAAGGATTAATGCATTTTATATAAAAAGAAAAAAAGGCAATATTTTTTCGCTAGAGAACACACACAAGAGCGCTTTAAATGAAAATGAGGAGTTAAAATAAATTGAAAAGTGAAACAGTCCCGGAAAATTTAGTGTCGCAGAGCGACGTAAAATGTAATCAAAGTGGCCGAAGTAATCAGGGCTCGGGGATGGTAATAGAGACGGAAATGCCATAGGGTTCGACAATACTCGTAAGTTTTCCGGGCAACCACAAGAGGTCTATCCTTACAAGAGACTACGAGCTTATTAGCAGTTCCTGCTGAGAACGACAAACTTTCCTCGAACTATTTCTGCTCTACGCACTATACTGTCATCTATATATCTATTATAATTTATCTCTTTCTTGCTCTTCATTCCGTTTCATTACTTCACCACCCAATACAATAACAGTTTATCGTACATAAACCAAGGGATGAAATAATACCGGAAGTTAGCGGTCCATTTGTCCAAAATACCGTTATCATCCTCATCCACAATATATTTTCGACAACAACTTGCATCATAGCCTTTGTTTTAATGGCTAGCGCCCCTCGTTTTCCTGGGATGGGGTAATTTAATGCTAACAGCGTATTCGCGAAGATTACTGTCAAACTTGATCAGGTTAACTTGCGCACTAAAGTTAATGGAGCGGAAGATAGTAAGAGCCTTCAGATGACGAGAAGATTGCCTGAATTATTTTACAGCTTCTAGTTTAGTTATTAGTTGCTACTAATGGTAGTATGGTTTGGACTAATGTGTGATAAATTTTAGGAATCGGTCATTCTATCGTTTACTATATGCTGTTAAATTATTTTATATCGGAAACTAGAATCCAGTATAAATTTCAACGTGGTTTACTATATGGCATTTTTGAATAGATTCCTGTATGGCTTCCTGTCGAAATGCAAACTACTATAAAAATTCATGTGAGAATTCACGATAGATTATTGTATGAATTTCTACATGACATTTTCGGATGAATATTTACCGGCCAAAAACTATTGAATTTAAATGATTTCGTGGGAATGTTTTGAATTTTTTATTCAAATTTATGATTTACTGAGTTAAAATTTTCATTAAATTTATGAATAAATTTAAAATAAAAAAAATAGAGTGATTTATAATAAATTATATTTTATTGCAAAAAAATATTAAGTATGTAGGGTGGGGCTAGTTGATCGTAGGGGTAAGTTGTGCAATCGATATATCTCGAAAACTAAGCAACTTACAACAAAAGTGTAAATGGTGAAAAGAAAGGGTTACGAGAGGAGAACACATCGCGCGAAAGTCAACTGCCGTCCGATGTTTAGACTAACTGACAAAACATTTTCTTTTATTTTTGCGTCAAAAAAAAAACAGGTCTTTAGAATTTTTCTCCTACACTCGCTTAAAAATGCTATTTCGCGAACACGAAAGTATTCAAAGATGACTTAATGTTTGCCCTTTCGATTATATATGATTGTTTATTTTTAATTCTTATCATTCTTTTATAACCTAACTTTTATTTTGTTGCCTCAATTGGGGCTAGTTGAGCAAGCCGGTGACTGCGTGTTAAACCAGCCCTATTAGATTTTCAATATTGAAAAATGAAATTTTTTTTCACTAAATTAATAATTATCAATTGATTTGTACATGTGATGATTTAATGTAATGTGTAAAAATTAAAATAACTCATATTGATATTATATTAATGAATTTTTAACATAATTATAATTAATATTGTTATGTTTATAATTATTATTATAATTATAATTATACGTATGTAGAATTATAATAAATTAAATATTTGCTTGTTGATAACAATTTTATTTTATTTTCATATCATTCTATACAGTCATTCCGTCTATTTTAGCCATTGCACAACTAGCCTCATACCCATGCTCAACTAGCCTCACTAGTGGGGCAGGTTGAGCAATTTGGAGCGCTCGCGTATTTCCGGGAATAACTTGAAAATTTGGACTTGGATCGTTTTTGTGTCGCTAGGCCTTTTGAAGAAGACTAAATTACGAACCTAACAGTATATGACTTGATTAAATCCGATACATCGTCTTAAAGTTATGGAAGGTCGAACCAAAAAGTGATCAACTAGCCCCGCCCTACCCTACTTATTAATATATTTCCACAGCAATTTTATTTTTACAAATATCTACTGATAAAAACAATTTTTTTTTAATTAAAAAATCACTTCACATTTTAAACTTATTGAAAATAATCTATTACTTCCATTTTCTAAGCTATAATTTATTTTTACCCAACAAACTTATTTTTACATAATCAAATGTAGTTACTGCGGGGTCTATAATAAGCAATTACTATTCTGACGTCTTAAATAAAGTCTAAAACTAATTCCCCTAGTCATAAAATATCCGATTTTACAGTCTCAAAAAAAGAAATTCAAATTTAGCCAAAGTAATTAATTGTTATTGGCTTTGAATCGTGTTGTTCTGATTGGCGAAACAACCATCGTATTGAAACTCGTAATTTTGCTTTATAATACTTGTGCGCTGTGAGTATTAAAATGAAAATACTGGAATAGTTAGCGGCGGTTATACAACATAAACGTTATAATAGATTCGGAACGGAGTGTAATTCGTAAAATATATACCTCAAAACGGTGGTTGTGAAATTCTTGGTACTTAGTTGTATATACTGGCCTCCAATTTAATTGAATGTTCGGGCTGGTGAGCAGACCGAGCACACACCAAGGGGAAAAGCTTATTGCTGACGTTTCGCCTGTGCTTACTAGATAAACTCATACTCTCCGCAAAAAAAGTTTTACTCATTCTCATTACATTATAAAACCTTTTTTCATTCCCTCAAATTGTTATTGTAATTTAATTATGATTAACAGAGACATTTAATTCTCGTTAAAAACACAATCATATCTTTATTTTTTATTTTTATTATATTTTAAAACAATTCATGCTTTGGTGAATTAATTTAATGGCTATTAATCTTAAATTATTACTTTAAGTTCTAAAGATCAAGTTTTAATTACAGATATTGTCAATTTAATTCTTTGAATAAAAATTTTATTATTTATTAAACTATTTGAATTTTTAAAAATAAAATAAAAAACCTTTTTATAAAATTTTTTTTCAAAGAAATTCAATTAATTATATACTAAATTAATATTTGCAGATAAAATAGTTTAAAAATTTTTTAATTTGACTAATTAATAAGAAATTGATCTTTTTCGGAAAAAAAAAATATTTTTCTTCTAATTTTTTATTAATATACCTTTAATGTCTAAAATAAATTTTTAAGTACCCAAAAAAAGACCCTAACGTACCAGTCTCAACAGTCAAATTTGGCGATATGATCACAGTAGTTAAAACTGACTCTAAATAAAAATTAATTAAAAAAAAATAAATTCATAAGTATAAAAGTTTTTTTCTAAAAATCAAATTTTACAAAATCAAAAAAATGTCAATTGTTATATTTTTAAATAAAATTTTTTTGGCTCATTGCGACATCAAAATTGTCCATAAATGCATATCTGCACCCCTTACACTTAATCTCAATCATGCATGTTCATTAAAAACAAAAAAAAATTAAATGCCGTATCGACATTATTAATAAAAATTATTGATAAAATTACAGCTCCAGGTGCGCCAGTGTTGATCCCCGAAGAGTGCAGCGCAGAAAACAACAGCGTGACAGTGGCATGGCAACCGCCAGGCGGTCATGGAGTTGGATGTGGTCAGCGGGCTCCGGCAATCGAAGGATATCTGTTGGAGCTTGACGACGGATGCGGTGGAGAGTTTAGGGTAAGAATAGAAAACCAGCGAAGCATCACCAGTCGATACCAAATGAAACCTATATCGGGAAAACTTTTCAACTGTCTGTGTCCTGTCCAAGCAAACAGAAGTCCACTAGAAAACCCATTTGCTACTGTCACACTGACTCTCCCTTGGTTTCTTCTTATCTTTCATACAATCACTACTTCTCGTTAACTCTTTACTCTTCGTTAAATATCTCTTCTGCAGTGTAGTAGTTACTATCTTACTTCATCCCAAATAGAAAAAGAGGGAAATAGGATTTATTCATCGCTGTCTCTTTTATCAAACCGTAGGTAATACAGTAATCCTCTTGTAGTCCAACACTAGGAACGCCAAACGTTTAACTTATTGCAGCTTACTTCGAGCAAACATGACTTTAAACACCATCCAAGATTAATTAAAGTTATTTTCGTGAGAATAAATCACTGCTCATGCAGTTATTACGTAAATAAACAATTATCCGTTTACACACGTTAAAATTTATCCTGAAAGTAAGGGTAATGTTTCCTTTAATCATTCGACACTTGATCGTAGATTTGAATTCGCGTCAAAGAGATACAGTTTGCAAAGCCAGTCCATCAGAATGTGTAAATAAAACCGAGCTTTTGATTTAAAACGAGTTTAAACGCGTGAAACAAACGCGATGAAATCTCATCAAGAAATTGCATTAAATTAAACTCTAGCTTTTTTGCGAAAAAAAAAAAAATAGTTTATTGAATTTTTGAATTATGAAACAATATGGAATAAAAATTCACATTGTATTTTATTGTTTTTTAACTTGAGCTTTAATCCCATTTTAAAATTTTATATTTCACTTTAAAACCCGTCCAACTGTCGCCGGAAATAACGGACCGATGTTGTGCAACCAGATAGACGGGAACGTATTTACTATGGGCGCTCGTAAACGCAATGGTATAAGCTGCCGGAGCTAAAGCACGTTCGTTAATTCCGCGTTACTGGCTTTATGGTTACCATTGGTGAAATAATCTGCGAAAGCTCTACGGCTAGTGTTGCTATACTACTACTGCTACTGCTAGTGTACTTTTATAAATATATCCGTATATGTATTCAGATGTATATCTAAGTGACCTGCAACACAAGTTGACCTAGGAATTGAAACATTTGTTTAACACGCAACTATAATATTTTCCTTAGGAAGTTTACTGTGGACGTGAAACTATCTGCACCGTAGATGGTCTTCACTTCAATTCACTTTACAATGCAAGAGTCAGGGCGTTCAATAGCGCTGGCGAGGGAGATTACTCTGAGCTCATTGGTCTTCAAACTGCTGAATGTATGTATTTATTTTTTTTTAATATAAAAATTTTTAATTTCCCGCTAAGAAAATTAAAAATTTTTTTTGTTTATTTGATTTAAAAAAATGTTAAATTATTTTTGCACGATTCATGATGCGAAGCATCAGGGAGTGCTTTACGATCGAAAAATTTTTTTCGCCTCAATTTGGCAACTATTTTTATTATTATAGCCTTATTAGTTCACGGAATCAAGATATTTTGCATACTATTGTCGAGATAATTTAATGGAGATTAATTCCATACTTTTTAAAAATTGATTTAGTGCAATTAAATAGAAACGGAAAAAATCATCAAAATAGGTCAAAAAATTTTCCTGTCCGTCATGTATGAAACTCCGAAAGCACTGTAACTTGTTAAAAAATCCATTATTTGAGTTAAATTTTTTTTTTTTAATTCTTAGTGACAATTCTAGGTCACCGAATGCGAATGACTAATTCAGTGTCGTTTAATTACAATTGATAAAAAACGAAAACTACAAGACTGTATATATCTACACAGAAAAAAGTAAACTGTAATATTCGCTCGGATTCCGGTTAATTTTTATAGTTTCAAACAGTAAAGCGGACATCGGGGTGGCAAAAATACAAATATTACAGAACTCAATGTATAAAGTATAAAAGCCACAATTTATAATTTAGTATCGAAAATAAGTGATTAGTAGCTGTCACTATAGTAAATGATTACTCTTTCATCTTAAAAAATTACAGTTTCAAATAGTAACAATTGCCATTTCAATATATAGTCAATTTTATGAGGAGAAGGGGAACTCAGATGAAAGAGAAGGGGGTCTCAACTCTGGGAGAATTTAACATTTGAAACAAGTAAAAATTATACTTTTAAAATATACATTTTACCAGTCTAAGCAAGTCAATAATTACAGTTTGATTTTTAGCGTTGCGTTTAAAATTTACCATTTTACTTTGTAAATATTGACGTTGCTTGTATTAGAAATTTAATAACTTTATTTTATACTTTTTACATATCATAACATCATTTTTAGGTACGAAATGATAAATATCAAAGTCTAAATTCTTAATTATTATACTTTAATATTTTAGACATTTACATAGCGAATATTACTGTTTGAAATAGTATTTTCTTCGATGTAAAGAGTAAATTGTAACGTTTAAATGGTAAATATTATAAAGTGAATAGTAAAAATCACGATTTTACTGTTTGAAATGGTAATTTTCAGCAGTTGATCATTACTTATTATAAATCGACTGTTATTTATTACAGTTTACTTTTTTCCGTGTATTTCATAATAAAATGAGCATTATGAATCGTGCACTTTTGGACTTTCCAAACTTTTCTTTAATTTCAACACTCTAATAATTATAATTCAAAGTTGAGAAAAAAATTACTCTCGTAATTACAGTTAAAAGATGTTTGACATAACACTCATTGTTTTAAAAGTACTTGATATTACTAATTATAAAATACGCAAAATTAAACCACATGAAGATTCTTAAAACTTTTTATAACTGTACGATATAATTGGTATGTAATTTAATATCCAGTGCTCACTCGTCTTGTTCTAAAATATTACTGACATACTTTATATGTTGAGCAGCGGAATATTAACAGAAACATCCACCAGAATAATTAAATGCATACCAGAAATACTTGTCTTTTACTTTTATTAAATTAAAAATACAAGTTATATATAAAAAGTTAATTTTGCATAACTAATTTTAATTTTATTACAACATGCTTTAGTTTTAGAGATTAACAATTAAATTTTAGCATGTTCTTTAATATTTACATTTTGAAAATTTAAACAATATTGATTATTCTAATGTTAGATATTATTTATTAAACATTACGTTTTTTTTAAAGATATTTTTCGGCTTGACATTTATAAGTCACCCCATTTCATTGAGCTGACATATACATTGCATTATTCATTCATATTATTTTAAAATAGAGTTCTATTGAATATATTTATTATAATAAAAAATAAATTGAAATTTTTTTTAAAAAAAAAACATTTTGTTAACTGAAAAAATATTTTGTAAATAATAATAATAACAAAAATTAATAAACTGAATAATAAATACTTATGATATCGATTAAATTGCAGTGGCATGGTTTTCATGGGCAACTGGCACACCGGGAGTTCCTCAAGAGGTTTCAATTTCCGAAGACGCAATGAGTGCGTCCTGCGAAGGGTATGAGCATCGCGTTGTACTGTCAAGCGTCGGATTCTCCCGTGGTGTCCATTACTGGGAGCTGACTATCGACCGGTATCACAGTGACACTGATCCAGCCTTCGGAATAGCTCGTGCTGATGTGTCACGCGATAAAATGTTGGGTAAGTCGTGAATCATAACTTATAAATAAATTTATAAATATGTAACAAGCTGTTGTCTATATAATATACTTTCGGTCGTTGACGTCGACACGTGCTAAACTTTGACGGGCTGTAAATCGATTATAAATTTCTTCACAACGTATTGCCGCTCATAATAAATATAATATAATAATTTTATTGATCCTGGACTCGTAATTTCGAAAATTAATTAATAAACTCGGTATGAATATACACAATAAAAAATTTTGCGTCATTGCATTTTTGTATTAAATATTTAACACTTTTATGTGTTATTTTAACATTTATTTATTTCTTTTTATACAACCCAACAGCCAAATGCCAATAACAGGGTCTCTAAATAAGTTTATATAGATAACAAAGTATAACTTAAAACTAAATGCGCTGTACTGGTAGCTTTTACAAAAGAGAAGTAATAAAACAAAAAACAATAATATATAAAGAAAATACTGGAATATTTACAAATATTCCAAAAAATTTAATATCAAATTATAATTAATAATAATTATAACAAATAAAAATTGACTGAAGATGTTTAACTAAAGATGTGAGGGATAAGATGTAAGTGAGATTAATATTCAGCTGGTTTGAATATGGACATAATTATCAATTTATTAATTTGACTTGGTTGTTTGTTATCTGAGAGGGTATATTAAGGGGGTATTCTGGTCTAGAAGCCTCAATTTTAGGCATTTTTCAAACTAATATAAAAAAAAATGAAAAACATTTTTACTATCCGTTTTTTTATATGATGTGTATTGACAATCAAAGAATATAACAAAAAAATTAAAAAAAAAATGAGAAATTTGAAAAATTACAAGCCGGTGAAGTGGTAGCTACAAAAAAAAAAACGGTGCACCCTGGTTGACATGATTCCAGCGCTTATAGTGATCTGAAACAAAAAAATTTGAAAAATTCTCAATTAGTAAAGATATCGCTATCGTGTTGACCTTAGCCAAAAAAAAAAAAATTCACAAAATGGTGTCGACATGAAATATCAATTTTTTTTACTACTTTTTTTTTGAGCTTTTCGAATTTTTAAAAAATACTTCAAATCGAAATTTTTTTAAATCCATGGATTCCTTGCAAGGCAGACGCGATAGAGAGATATATAAAGAAGATTCTCACCAAATTTCAAAGAAATCGGTTAGGTAGAACTTGAGATATCATGTCAACCACTTCAAAAAAAATAGTTTCGAGAAAAACGCGTTTAAAGTTTGAGAAACAATTCCAGTAGAATAACTCGGATAATAATATTTAATACTTACTTTGGATTAATCGGCGATCCCAGATCCATACATTGGGCCTCCTTCTATTTATACTCAATGTTTTGCACAGTTTTTTCTGCTAATCGAGCTGTTCTGCCTTCTTTTGAAGAAACAGAAGCTCGTAGTTGTGTGACTCGCTCCGATCGGCCGGCTTATATGCTGCGTCACAAAATCTACTGTATCTCTGAAAATAATTCGAATTTTGAAAAATCCATTCAAGAACATGTTCTTAAGGGTCTAAACTTTGAAAATATGAAAAAAAATCGATTTTTTCAAATTTCTAGACCAGAATACCCCTTTAATTCATTTATTCTGTTAAATCAACATAAAAAAGTGTTAAATATTTAACATAAAAATTTTTAACACAAAATTTTTTGACGCAATGACCCAAGATTTTTTACTGTTTAATATTTAACTGAATATGTATCGTGCAGTAGTAAAAGATTTAAATTAAATTTTTTATAACTATAACTTTGCATTTTATCTTGACATTTATCTCAATTCAAAAGGAACAATTTACTCAGAAGGCAATCGGAAAAACTCCTAGACTACAATTTGTATCTGTCCTTTGAGACAGTTTAACGACACTGACTCTTCCTCTGTTTAAAAATAAAAATAAAAAACGAAACAAATACATACCTTCGATTCTTATCACGTTCAAAGGAAACTATCTGGTACAAGACTGTACCATGTAAGAATAATTTCCAAGTCTTTAATTTCAAGTCAGTTCATTCAGTCGTCCCATAAAACTCTTTTCTCTTTTGCTTTTTGTTAAAAAAACAAAAAAAAAAGTCAATAAAGTTACTCAAGAATTTGTCATCTGATTGTTGAAGTTATTTTGCTCAAAAATACGTATCGTGGTGATAAATTTTAATGATCGTTTACTTTAACTTAAAGGTCCGCTAGTTTTAATAAAATTTCAATCATAATTTTTTTTGTGTTATTTTTTTTATTCGCAAGAGAGAGTTAATTAACAAGCGATTGAAAAAATTATTTGTGTGCTCAAAATTTTAATTGCCTTGCCCAAGGTTGCTCGCCACTCTTCCATACTATGCAACCACCTCCGGTCTATGCTGGGTTTTGTGAACAAATATATGTTTCATAAAAAAATTGTTTTTCTAGTGTCAAGAAAATGCTTTATTTAGTTCCGCAGTAACCTCATAATGTCAGAATAACTAGAACAAAAATAATTGAGAGATTAATATACATAAAATAAAAATATATAAAATAATGATAATGATAAATTTATTTTTAAAATTTTGTTAATTAATTTAGTTCGATGTTTTTAGTAAACTAAAAAAAAAAAACAATTCATAGAATTTTAAAGGTAAAACTTGTAAACGATTTAATTTTTCAATTTTTTATTACAAAACAAATCGAAAGTAATCACTAAATATCAATTTCCAATAGAGAAAATGTTTAGATCAAATATTGACGAATAAAAATTGAAAACGTGACGTTTTATATAAAAAATTGGAAAAATTAGTTTCAGATTTTAATTATTACATATTTTATAACAATCACACTGTAAAATGTAAATATTACATTGACAGCTTTGAAAATTAACATTCAAATTCTGAATTAAGAACTAAAATTTTTCTAATTTTTTATACGAAGTGACGATTATTATTATTATTTTTTATAATGTAATTTTTCGATTTTTCTTGCAGTTTAAAAATAGTAAAATGTACCTAGACGGTAAATTTTTTAACTGTTATATATTTAATTAAAAGTTTTAAAAAATTAAAATAAAAAATATTTGTTTTACGACAAAAAATTAATAAATATTATTGTTTATAATTTTGAATTATTATAAAAATATTTAGATGGATAGAAAAATAAACCTTAAATTGTAAAACTCGCAACATTTTGGTAATAACTAAGTAAAATGGTAAATTTTAAACGCAACGCTAAAAATCAAACTGTAATTATTGACTTGCTTGTACTGGTAAAATGTATATTTTAAAAGTATAATTTTTACTATTTTAAAAGTTAATTTCTCTCAGAGAGAGACCTCCTTCTCTTTCATCTAAGTTCCCCTTCTCATTATAATATGGACTATATATTGAAATGGCAATTTTTACTGATTGAAACTGTAATTTTTTAAGATGAAAGAGTCATTATTTACTATAGTGATAGCTACTAATCACTTATTTAGGATAGATAGATAGATAGATAGATAATAAATTTTATTTGATCCTCGAGTTCTAAGCTCCTTCAGGACCATCAACAATACATAAAGTTAATTATTTACAAGTATACATTTGATACAGCGTTTGCAATACAATTTGAAGACCGACATTAATTAATAACTATCATGTTAAATTATAAGATCAATGGTGATTATATTGATTGCAAGAAGAAATTAAAACAAGCTTGCTTAAAAATTTCAAAGGTGTCAATTTCTGTAATATCTGCCGTTAATGAATTCCAAATTTTTATGCCATGAATTAGGAAAGAATTTTCATAGATAGCAGAATTACTTCTTGGCAAACGCAGATAGTCATTCCTGACGTCACTTTTCCTTAATGCAATTGGCAAAAATTCTAATTTTGATCTAAACAATTGATTATAATTTAATTTAATTTCTTTATAAAATAGACAAGCTATGAAATAATTTCTTCTCACGTTAAGTTTTAACCAGCCCAATTCTTTATAATATGGAGTAGTGTGCTCAAATCTTGAAATTTTGAAAATATACCTAATGCAAGGATATTAAATTATAAATTGTGGATTTTATACTTTCTACATTAAGTTCTGTATAATATTTATATTTTTGCCACCCCGATGTCTGCTTTACTGTTTAAAACTATAAAAATTAACCGGAATCCGAGTGAATATTACAGTTTACTTTTTTCCGTGTGAGAATGTGAAATTCGACATACTAGAGTGTAATATTCTGTACAAAAAGTTTTACACTTTACATAATGACGAAAAATTTTTTACAGTGTAAAAATAAAAATAAAAATTTGAAATACCTTTATTATATTTATCCTAGTTATTTGTACTGCCAGACAACTAAATTAAGCATCTTTGGAATTTCACCGGACCTTTAAGACCGTCCGGCATCTCATTTTGTCCCGAATACCAATCCAGAATCAATAAAACCAATTAAATTGATCCGAGCAAACCAAATATTTAATAAAAATATATTAGCTATATACAAAGACAAGCCAAATACACAGGCTCTTATCCTCGACAGGCCGATAAGATCTATAATATAAGGACGGGCGGTTTAACTTGTTCGCAGGCAAAGATGACAAGGGTTGGAGCATGTACATAGACCGTCAAAGATCGTGGTTTATGCACGCTGGCGGTCATGCCCAAAGGACCGAGGGTGGCGTACAGCAGGGCTCGACTGTTGGTGTGCTCTTGGATCTCGATTCGACCCACACTCTTCGGTTCTTCGTAAACGACCAACCGCAGGGTGGAATCGCCTTTCGTGATCTCTACGGGGTCTTCTATCCGGCTGTAAGCCTCAATCGCGGCGTCACTGTCACTCTCCACACGGCAATCGATCCCCCCCGACATCTCCTTGCCCTTCATGACGAGTACGTCTGCGATATTGTCCAGAGCTAGGGGTACCTTACTGTCCTCAAGAAAGGCCTGCTCTCCACTCAAGAAAATGGAAATGGTAATGGAACTCATGGTGAACACGACAGACCCAAGGATCACGCTGAGCCCAACCAGATGCTTGAGAAAATAATCGAAGAAAGTCCTACGGAAATTAATTAATATTAATTATCATTAATATATTATCCATGTTTTTTTTTTTTGTAGTAATCATTAATTAAAAATCAATCATATTTTATTATTAAATAATTTTTTCGATTATATTTTATTTATTTTAAAAATAAATATTTTTATATTATTATTCAATTTATTAATTATTAATATTTAGTTAATAATTTAGCAAATAATTAAAATAAAATTTGAGGTAAAAATAAATACAAGTAAAATTTATTTTTAATTTCCGGATAATTGAGACTGGTCTTAAGAGATAAGACAGTATCACTACGAATTATTTACACTAAATTTCGAGCATTACGCTGACTATAATAACTTAATAACAAAGAAGAAAATAAAAATAAAATACATATTAAAAAGCAGCGAAAGTAATCGATTAATTTATACGAGACAAAATTAATTTTTTAATCTGAAAAAAATATATGAATCGATAAAAATATAAAGACTGTACTTGAATGAAAATAAAGCACTGGTTATATACATTAAATGATTTAAAATCAGTGTGTAATATCATATCGAACGTATTTAAATGTAACGTAGGGTTTAAGGATCAGTATCATAGATTTTACATATATTAACTCGAGAAAAATATTATTACTTGAAGGGATTATTGTTTTAATGAATATTAATAAAATTAAATGATGATGGTTATTATAATTGATTATTGATAATAAGTCGGTGTAATAATTAAGTATGAACTAAGTAAATTCGATCTAGTCTAGTAGTTTATTAATTTTCGTACTTTTACATTCTTAATTAATTTTATAATTTGACTATTATTGTCACTCGCTACTCCCATTTTCACGTTAAATAAATTAACTTTTGGAAAGGGAAATGCTAATTAGCTATTACCGCCGCAATTGTGGCTCGCGCGGTTATTCACTGGACAGGGTGACAATGTTATTGCAAAATGCTCCATACACGCAGGCATCAATTGTATTATTCACACTACGGGCATAATTATAATTATTATTATTATTTTTATCATTATTATTACTCTTGTAATAATAATTTGTCTATTACTATTATTATTGTTAATAATAATACTTGTGTATATAAATGTAAATAATATATTATATTATATAATATCTATCATATTGCCGATGAAATTGCCAATTGTAAACATTTATTATTATTGTACTCGAACAATAAATGCGCTGAAAAAATATCTCATGCTTTGTTTATTTATTTTCCCAATTTGAATATTTATTTCATAGTATCGGTGAGTATAGTTCATAAATTTTTCTAAAAATTTTATTTCTGTATTTTATATTTATGCAGGTTGTAATATGATACATAAGAAGTCTAGTTTTTAAAAATGATGAATAGTTAATGACAGAAAAAAAATGTCAAGAGATAAAATCGTAAATAAATATTTTTATTTTCCAAGTCGGGAGTAAATTTAAAAAAGTCACTTCAATTTTTAAATATTCATATTTTTATAATTTAGACAGAAAATTGTCTCAAAAAAAATTATAATATTTAGATCTAAAAATATTTTTATATTTTAATAAAAAAAAAATTTATAAAGTACTTCTTAATACAATTGAGGTAACCTGAGCCTGATAAGCCTTTATTATACTGTCTAATAATATGATAGCTGGAGTAACTCTGATTGACTGATATCCATCAATAAAATATATTTGGAAGCTATTGATTACACGTCATCTCTCAGTAACTCATCATTAGCGTCATATTATTTCAAAATCAATGATGAAGACTATTCATTATTTCAATTTATAAATTTTTTTTTTCCTGAAATTGCATGCAAATATTTAGATAATTTTTTTTTTAGTAAAAAAACAACTATTAAATCAATTTTTGGACTTTGAAATGCTTCGAGTAGAAGTGTTTGCTCACACTATTGAGAGCTCTCAATTTTAAACAAAATTAGATACATTGTTTACTTGAGTACACATGTGTAGAGTTAAAATTACACTTAACAAGTGTTTTTTTTTTTAATTTATTCAAGTGACTTTATTTTTTTTACAAATTATAAAAAAATATAAATTTGAATTTTTTATGGTTTATTTACAGACGTTTCAACAGTAAATTACAAAATTATCAAACTTAAATTTTTTTACGCTGCCGAACAGTGCCGATGTCGATAAGGATGGTCTCCACAATTCCGACTGATTAATTTATCTGAAATAAAAAAATCTGCACTATTTTATTCTATAAAGTTGTAAATATAGATAAAAAAGTTTGGAAAATCCAAAAGTGCACACCTCATAATCTCATTTTTCACAATAAAATTGATTAAAATAAAATATAAAAGGCAAAATAATTAAAAATAGAAAACTCTAAGGTGAGGAAAAAAAATACTATAATAAAATGTATAGATAGATATACAAAAAAATCCACAGTCATATATTAGTTTTTTATAAATAATAATTTAACAACAGTGAATTGAACGCTCATATTAATTAAGAAAATCCGTCGTGTGTTACTTTAGATAATAAAAAAAAAATTATTCCGGTACGATCATTTTTTCGACCAATTTCCCTGCCACAGACACCCATCCATACGCGGACGTCCAAAAAAGATTATGTTTAATGTTATTATTTACTATGTTAAACAAAAAAATTGTTATTGAAACATATTTTATGTGCCTGACAAATTATTTGACTTGATATAAGTGTACTCATCATATTAACCTGTAAGTGCGATATAAATAACAAAAATCAATTTCAGTTTCGAGAAAACTGCTTTTTTTGAAATGTCGAGAGTAGAGTACAACCTCAACGCTTCGCTTATGAGGCGTGCAATTAGAATCATTCAAAAATTTTGAAAATTCATTTTTAATTTTATGAATTTAGCTAATTTTTTACATAAAATAATTTTTTATTTAATATTCAAAAAACTATTTATTGTAAAACAATAATTTATTGTAAAAAAAAAACTTTTTAACAATTTATTGTCAGAAAAAAAACGGATGTTTTAAAGCTTCCAACAAATCATCGTACTATTTTTACCGCTCAATTACCGAGCTATTTTCCTTCATTGAAAAATCCGAAGAATAATAAAAACATATACCGTCGCTTTTATGATTTCCCACTAAAAAGAACGCATTAACGTAAATTCCTCTTATTCATCGCTTGTGTTGTAAAAGCTGGCAATAAAAAATTTAAGATTTTATAAAATAAGATCGAAAAAGAGTTCCTTACAAATTTAATTTAATTGTCATCAAGTCTGTCCTCTTAAATCCTCATTCTGTAACTCTTCTTCCCTACCAGCCATTTTCTCTCTTTCAAATAACGCGGGTACTCGTTGAAGCGTTTCTTATTTACTCTCAAAGGTATCAAATCCAGCCACGTTATACAGCATGACAAAAAGATAGCCCGAGAAAATGAAATAAAAATAAAAAAAGCACCGAGTGTATAAGCTTCTAGACGCGTGCGTGCGTTCTCAAGTGGAAGAAGGGTCGGTTTGCTGTTCTTGTGTATCAGACGACAGTACAAAACACTGCGATACACGACGCACATCAGTCTAAGCACTGAACACGGGGACCTAACCCGAAGTGAACAGAAATAAGACTGGAGTTAAGTACAAGACCGAGGAGCAGCACACAAAAACTAAATAAACAACACAGAAAATAAATAAATAAATAAATATTAAAAGAAAGATTTGATTGGAGTGTCAGCAAACAGAGTAGAGGAGTAGCAAGAAATCTTAGCCTTACCCCCTTTAACTTTCAGATGAATGCGTTCCATTCTACTTCTTTTCTTTCACCCACCGCCAGTTAATATCCGTACAATATCAAAGAGAAGATAAAACTAAAAAATAAATAAAAATGAATTTAAAAAACAGTCTCTAGACTGTAGATTCTTTTTCATTACGTCTATGCAGTTAAAGAAGAAAGTTAGTTCGTTTGCCAGCAATTTTTCGAAGCACATCGTGGCATTTTAATCGCGAATCGTCTGAAAATAAATAAAAAGTTTAAGTTAATTAAATAAGGCAGCATCATTTTCTTTTTTTCTCTTATCTGATATCTTTTAAAGAACACAAGATTTCATCTGATTCAGTGGATTCTTGACGAGCTCAACAAAAAATAATAAAGATAAGGATGAAGAAATGAAAGTATATCTGTATCTAGGCGAGCATTATGCTCCCGATCAAATCCCAGATGCTCTTTCAAGTGGGAGTTTCTGGGAAAAAAAGTTAAAACTGCATTTTTCTGGAACAGCAGGAGGAGGAAAGATTCTTTTTAGAATCTTCAGCAGCGTTCGTTCCCTCATTGAGTCTGATTTATCTTTTTTTATATTCATTCTTTTTTCCTCTGCAGTTGTTCGTACAAATATTGTATTTAGTTGTATTATATGAATTTATCTCGCTTTTCTTTAGTTTGTGTACTTTGAATTTATAAAAGCAAATGGAAATAAATAAAATAAATACGGCGATTTTGGTGGACGCGAGTTAGAGCACTGGAATGACTTGAACTAGTTGGATCTTTTATGACTTGTTTGGTAAACTGCCGGGGGACCTCCAGTTCAGTTCGATTTGAATCGAGTGTGTGCTCACGTAGATATCGAGAGCGTGTTTGTCGGTAAGGGTACTATACGGGATGCTATCTAAACTTGTAAAATGACGGAGACATAAGATGTAATAGGACAGATGGTACAATAATTGTGCTTATTCGCTCGAACGTGTTATCTCTGTCTTATTTATGAAATACTGCGAGTTATATTGGATTTTGTTGAGTTAGTAAACTTACTGGGCTAGCGCAGGGACTGTTATAGTTCGGTAGTAGTGTACCATGGCCCCGGGGTATATACCCAGCACATGAGTATTAGAAATAAGCCCGGTTGTCATGGACAAATGGCTCACAAGTGCTACCAGATTTCTTTTCGGTAAACAACCCAAACAATTTTCATCATTTTAATTGGATCATTTTTTTTATTCAATTTTAACTGAGTTAAATATTTTTTAGAGACATTTTTTTTATTACTACCTTCAACTTGATTAATTATTTATGATGAAAAATTATT